CCAGAAGAGTACCCAGAAGTCACCTACTATAGTTCAAGCCCAACAAAGAAAATAACAGAACGCCACTAGCCGTCACCGTCAGTCCCTAACTAAAACCTCTCCAGCGCATCATCAAGGATCTACAACCTATTCTGAAGGACAATCCCTCACTCTCACAGATCTTGGGAGACAGGCCAGTCCTTGCTTACAGACAGCCCCCGAACCTGAAGCAAATACTCACCAGCAACCACACACCACACAATAAAAACACTAACCCCGTTGCCAACTCTGTCCACATATCTATTCAGGGGACACTATCATAGGACCTAATCACATCAGCCACACTATCAGAGGCTCGTTCACCTGCACATCTACCATCCTGTGCCAGCAATGCCCCTCTGCCATGTAAATTGGCCACCCAGACAGTCTCTACGCAAAAGAATAAATGGACACAAATCAGATGTCAAGAATTATAACATTCAAAAAAACAGTCGGAGAACACTTCAACCTCCCTGGTCACTCAATTACAGACCTAAAAGTCACAATTATTCAACAAAAAAACTTCAAAAACAGACTCCAACGAGAAACTGCAGACCTAGAATTAATTTACAAATTGGACACCATTAAATTAGGCTTGAATAAAGACTGGAAGTGGATGAGTCATTACACAAACTATAAACTACTTCCCCAGGTTAATTTTCCCCCTACTGTTATTCACACTTCTTGTCAACTGTTTGAAATGGACCATCCTGATTATCACTACAAACGTTTTTTTTCTCCTGCTGATAATAGCCCAACTTAATCAATTCGTCTCATTGGAGTTGGTATGGCAACACCCATTTTTTCATGTTCTCTGTATATATGTATATATCTTCCCACAGTATGCATCTATCTTTCCACTGCATGCATCTGATGAAGTGGGCTTTAGCCCACGAAAGCTTATGCTCAAATAAATTTGTTAGTCTCTAAGGTGCCACAAGTACTTCTCGTTCTTTTTGCTGATGCAGACTAACACGGCTACCACTCTGAAACTAATGTTTTTGAATTTCCAACACACAGAGAGACTCATATCCCCTGTGCTGAGACTATTCAATGATTCTGAACTTTGTCCTTCATGGAGTCCCTTTTTCTTTCTTAAAATATTAACAATAACATGTCGCCACTAGAACTGATAACAATCCCAGTCTCTCTTACTTCTCTTCTACAGGGAACTGTGCATTACCACAGGTTCTCTTTCTGCTGGGATAATAGCCAAAATCAATCACCCAGATGGTTTATCTCTATGTCCCACTTAGACCAACAAAATGCTCTGGAATCACATAATTAACTCTGTCACAAGAAAATGCTGCACATTCTGAAGCAGCACTTCAGTCCCAGTACTTGATGAACCTATCTCAGTTAACAGTAGCCCTGCTGACTTTGTTTTGAGGTGCGATTATAATCAGGCCTGTAAAGATTACCATCAAAATCATCCGTTACACTAGTGTGAGGTATATTTTAGTGTCACTCACCAAAGTATACAGTCAAAATGCCAATAATATCAAACACAGAGTTAGCAAGGATATTGGTAGAAGATCTGTTACATATTGCTTTCCTATTGCTATATTCCAGCCAGTTAATTCTTGTCTCTTGCCTACTTTTCTCTAGCTCATTTCTGAAGAATAAAAAATAGTTCCTATTGCATGGAAGAGAGCTTTCTTTTTTAAGTGATTTGACTGGAAAAAAACATGGACATAACTATACATTTATTTACACCAATAATGTTAAAAGTCTGTATATGTTGAGATTATTGCCATACACTATGGGTATTATTACATACAAATTGACATTGTGTAAAAATTAGATGAACATGCAAATTTTTATAGTTTATCATTTTCCTGAGGCTTTTGTAAATCACCTTTTTAACTTTCATTCCTCTGAAAAGTAAACAGCACCTACTTATATTTGCAAAACACATTTGTTTTGGACAGAGAGCATAACCTGTTGATTAACTACTGGCAATCTGTCAGCTTTGGGATTGAAGCTCTGCACAAACTGTGGTGTCACCTCCCAAAGTGCCCCACTGCGAACCTCAAGTTCATGGGAATGACCAATACTAACGATCCCTGAACTGTTTCCCACAGCCAAGTGACAGCTGTGATTCTTTAGCCCCAGCTCTCCTCCTTAAAGCTGATTCAGCAGTAAATTTATGGCACTTCCTCCACAGTGTCCCATGCTGGCTTTGGACATTTATCTCCCAGGCCTATCACTGAAAGATGTGTCTGCCCCATCGTTCACTATCAGGCTCCTAGATGGCAAGTTGCTAGGTATCAAAAAAAGAGCAGGTGGAGGTTTGGGTGTTGGAAGAACTCCAACCAATATGACATGCTAAATTGTGTTGTCATCTTGTTTGAATGCCACCTTCACATAACGATGGAGTAACTGTGTGCAAGGTAAGAGAGCACTGCATTTCCCTCTGCAATAAATTTACACAGAAGTAGGTGTTTATGGGAATGTGAAGAATGTTCAGAAAAATATATAAATAAACAAAAGAACTGATTCTTTGAATCCATTGCAGGGTACGGGGTTTTAAACTGAATTTCGCAGGCCTCAGGCAGCCCTTATGGAAATATCCTATAGAAGTCTCTCTCACCAACAGAAGTTGGTCCAGTAAAAGATATTACCTCAGTCACCTTGTCTGTCTATAGAATTTATAGGCATGAAACCTATACAACTCCATGGAAATTAAACTCCAAACCTATAGATGTTAAAAGACAATTCTATAGGTTGATTTAAAAAGTCTATTGGAAGTTTAGCATTCTCTATTAGATTCCATAGTACTTTTCCAGAAGAGAAATAACTATAATTACCTCTATGCCTCAATTTCACCCTCTGTGAAATGGAGATAATTGCTTCCTCAAAGCAGGACAGTGCTTGTGAACTTGGAATTTAATTTATTATAGACAGTATGACACAATAAAGCAGCCTCATTCGATGGACTGTAGTTCCCTGATTT